CAGAAGAGATTTCATAAGCCTCATACTCTTTAGTCCGATTTTATTTACGTTATCCTTCTCAATTCAGAAAAATTTTCCTTTTATGTCTTCACAACAATAATAATTCCGGTTTAACTTCATAACATTCATTAGACAGCCAACTCAACTATTCATTTAAATTAATGAGCTCTAACAATAACTTCTAATGGGTATACAGTCCCCAAAGTGATCGAAGTAAGGAAACATCGCAGATGTCCGAAGTAGAGAAATAAAACTTACGGAATACAAACAGCGTCACTTTTACGCCCTGAACTGATTGGTGTTGACTATTTTAAACGAGTATGCTATTGACTCGGATAATGATTTTGCTGAAATATGTAAATTAATTTTGTGATAAAATGCTCAATTTTTGATTCCAAAAATTGTTTAAGGAGAATACATAAGATCTTTGAATTTAGCCTTGTAAATACTTTACTATTCCAAAATGAACCCTTTGATGTGAAATGTAAAATGTGAAGGGAAAAATCTTGTATCGAGTTATTTAGTTAAATGGTTGGAATCTGTAAGAATAAAACTATGGTATATTTAAGGCTATTTCTATATGTTATAGTACAAAAATAAACTATTTTCTTCTTCAGTAGCACTGGCTAATGAAGTTCTGGGAACACATGAAAGACGAAGATTGCTGAATAAAGAATGGGGATATACAAGTCTAACCCAAAGTCAATGCAGGCAAAGTAATAGCCCCGAAAAATGTTAGGCAGATAAATTCTTATTGAGGAAATCACCATTAATATAATGGTGCCGTGGAGGTGACTCGTCATAGGAATCTTGTAGACAATATTAATTTTGTTTTCATGAGACACGCAGGAAAGTTCGGCGGATCTTCAAACTCTTGAAAAAAATTCCTTTTTGCTATCGAAAGAGATTCAGTATAAAAATGGTCATATTTATGTTAAATGTTTATAGTGGATTGCTCTTAATATACATATGTAAAAAAGTCAAAAGCAAAGAATGCAACTTGTAGCATCTTCAGAGACCTATGTAGATCTTAAAATCGATTATGGAACTCTTACACTAAAAGTGATTATAAATTATTATAGATGCATCTTCTTAAAATATATTTCATAGGACCTAAAGCCAATGGCGATATAAGTTCGCCATTAAGATACTTCATAAGAGCACTTTAAACATCATATATGTATAATATCAATGAATACGGAGGTTTTAAATGCGTATTTATATTTTCGTTGAAAGTATGCTCTGCTATATACAATGCTTTGCAAAAATCAGAACTATTTTAATTTGCTTGGAACCATGTTTCAATGAAAGACCAGCTATTGTTGTCTCAGTGTTGGCTTTTCTTCAAATGCAATGTTCTAATACTTCTCTATTTCTTTTTATGAGCGTCTACCTGTCTTCTATGAAAAAAAATATGTGTGTCACTAGTTTGTTTGCTTATTCTAATATCAATTCCTTATATTATCAGTAGTTCAAAGTATTAACTAAAGAATTGTACTAAACATTTTTAGGTTATGTTGCTACTACTGCAGAGAGTTTTAAACTATTTATACTTGCGATTTTACGATTATGAAGGTTGGATTGGGGAATAGGGTCTCATTAGAGTCCGTGTAACAGACGGTATATGTTATTTAAGTTTCTCCTATTTATATTAAAATATTGATTTAAAAATTGTCTATGATGGCCTTTTAGTGTGACGTCTTTATGCTCGTATTGTAAATATATGGGTGCCAAGGGTGAATTATCATTTTCTTCAAAAGTTTTTAATTGGCATTTCTATATCCTAAACAGAGTATATTAAGTTTACCACAAAGTTTATAACACCCATAAGGAAACATCGTATAAAGTATATACTATATATACAGTGATCAGCTTGACAAGCTGTGTCGATTTAGCCTAGTCCGTCTGTCTGTATATACGTGAACTAGTCCCTCAGTTTTTAAGATAATTTTGCAGACGCCTTTCTTTCAAAGAAGCTTCGCATTTGTCGGAACCACCGATATCGGATAATTAGAGCATATAGCTGGTGAGTTCAGCTTAGGTTATTCCTATTAAATTTCATTCCATAGCCGACTCATCAGACAGTTTGGTCACTATACAATTTTTGGATGCCTTGGGAATATAAATTATTTCGGTAAAAATCCTCACTTATACCAGAAATAATGTGGATAAGAAGCTACAATATTATACAATATATACGAATTCACAGATCATGGTCTGCAATCAGTATCTGATAGACGGTAATTCTGTTAGCTTCTAGAGAGACAAAAAGACGTCTCCTAAAATATAATGACGTCACTCTAAGTGAAATTGAGAGCGAGTTTTGCGGTTCTAACCTTAGACACAAGAACCATAAGAAAATCATGATATCTTTGAAAGCAGCGTAAAATTAATAAAATTCGATTCTCCATCTGTCGGAAGTTGTCGATATATACACCACAATTGTATATACACATAAATGAGTATATGCATTAGCAATGGCTTTATATCTCATGCTTATTCATAATAATATATTTAGAAGCGTGCCATCTGCAAGCCGGAAAATATCATGCTAACCAGTTTTAGTTCCAATTTAGCTTCACTTTGCAGCTCCTCTTTTATTGAAGTGCTTTCAAACGGCTATTGAACAAGAAGCAGGTCTGAACGATGATATATCTACACTGGAATTGATTTGCATTTTCGTGATAAAAGTTACTTATTTTCTTATTTTGCGCTAAAACAACTTGCTTAAATATTTTCGCTTTTTAATATGTGTCACAATAAACGAAAATCGTATATAAATGGCGTAGATACTTCAATAAGTTAGTCACAAGTCGTACGGACTGCAACAGTGCAACTAAATAAAATTAAAGATGGTAAATATATATCTGATAAGAATGATATATTCATGAAGCACACCGCTAAAATTCAAATCTTCTTCGTTTCCACAGAAATTCTTCGCTGCCGCTACCTTCATCGCCTTTTTGGCTTTCGCCTGCGCTGATGTCTCTCATCTGGGCTATGGCTACAACCAACCCGCTGCTAGCGCTCCAGTTAACTCCTACATTCCACCTGCAGCTAGCGCTCCAGCACCAGTCTACAGTGCCCCAGCTCCAGTTTACCAACCAGCTGCTGCTGCGCCAGAACCAGTCTACGCTGCTCCAGCTCCAGCCCCAGTTTACCAGTCAGCTCCAGTTTACCAACCAGCTGCTGCTGCTCCAGAACCAGTCTACGCTGCTCCAGCCCCAGCCCCAGTTTACCAGCCAGCTCCAGTCTACCAACCCGCCCCATCTGCACCAGTCTCATCTTACATCCCACCGGCAGCAACCGCTCCAGAACCAGTCTACTCTGCCCCAGCTCCAGCTCCAGTTTATGCTCCACAACCAGCTGCCTCTGAAGTCTATGAGCAACCTGCTGAAGATGGTTACAGATACCGCACTGTGCGTCGTCGTGTCTACAAACAACGTCGTTTCTAAGCTAAGAACTAATGAATACTCCAAAATAAATGTTTAGTTAACTCGAAAGATATATAGTTTTGAAAAAAGGTTGCTGAAGGGATTTGGGGTTTAGATATCTAACCGAACTGAGTTTTGAAATTTCTGGACCCTCTAAAATTAGAGAGATTAAAGTATTATTTCTATGTTAGTCGCTAAAGATAAACTTAGAGTATATTTAAGCATTATACTTGTATGTACAGCTCCAGCAGGCTGAAGATTGGTTCAAAGTCACCATAAACATACTCATTATGATCTGGTAAATTTTTACTGATCTTTCTGAGTACATTTAGATGTAAACGTGTTGGAGCTTAGGTATTTCTGGAGCAGTGTGGAATTTGTGCACTTTTAGTAAATCATGCCCGAATTTTGAACCAGGTAATTAAAATTTCGCCAAATCAATCCAATCAGCAACATAATGGCAATATGGGATTTTCTTAAAGCCACTCAGAGCCAAGTAAGCCGTCGTATTTTAATTTAATCTTAAGCGATTAACTATGTGCCTTATATGCATGTAGGCATATGCCCAGCACAACCTGGAGGCGTTCTCCTTCTCACATTCTCGGGTGCTACAGAGGGATATTTAGACCAATTCTGTTCTACAGTGGAGCAGTGTGGTGGACAGGCTTACAAAAGTCTACCTACAGGAACCCAATGGAAAGGGTTCAGCAGCTAGCTGCGCTGTGCATAACGGGACGTGAGCTTTAAGAACCACTACAACAGCGGCTCTTATAGACCTCTTCAAATTGCAATCAAGGCAATAACCTCGTATCGCTATCAACAAGAAGTGTCTTCGGAAGCCGCGCACAGTGGTAAGTGTCACCAGGAACAAGCGGCTTTACTTATACTGTATGCCATGTCACAAACGCATCGATGTTAATGAGATAGTGGACGAAATTGCTAAGAGTGATCAACATTGGGAAACCCATGCATTGGAAACGATCTTCCGGTTTGTAAAACTGCAAAAGTCATTTGCATAAATGTAAATCAGAAATACACCAGGTTCCTACAGGTACACGATAGAAAGGACTGTAGGAAAATGGTTGCAATGCTCACTGGTCATAGCCTGGTGGCGGTGCACGACTACAGAAGACCAAACAATAGGGAAACAATGCACAACTTGTTTCACATTGGCAAGGCAACGTTTCAAACATTTGGAGATACAAAGGTGTGAGACACTGGAATGCTGAAATTCGCGGCAAGCGCTGTCATTTTCCAGGCTGACTACTAATAATATACTGCGTTGCTTATTAGCCTACCAGACTAACCTAACCTAACTCAACACAATGGCCTATGCTAATAAAAGCGTTGACCCTGACCAGTCGGAGACCAACATTTAGCGCTTTATTGACGACGTGAGGCTATCCGATGGAAAAAGTTTTGAAAAATGAGACCGCGCGATGACAAGACCAGAAATTCAATACTAGCGACCAACTGCTATTATATTGGAGCTGCCTTTTCCTTAAGTGCATTGAACTACTACTTCTCTATTTATTTGTATCAACGTATGCCCGTCTTCCATAAAAAATATGCGTGTCTCTAATTAGTTTGCTTATTCTTATAGCAATTTCAAGTAAGATACGTAATATATTTGATGCTGCATTTACTAAAGTTAATTTTGCACTCTGGAAAGATCATACGTAAAATACTCAACTGCAACGACCAACCATTCACAAGTCGAACAAACTTCCGTAGAACAACAGAACAAAACCAGATTTAGTAACAATGGTGAGTATCCAGTTCCAGTATTGATTGTTGTTCCTTTTGTGTTTATATTAAAATAAAACTGATATTTGGCTGAAAAATTCCTGTGTTTTGAAACCAGCAACACGTTTGAGTGGTTTAGATGGCTGATCATTATTATGGCCCTTAGTTCTATTGCCTGTTATTCGAAACAGTTTTTCGTAAGCTCTCATAGTGATCTGTTGAAATCAGTGATATTGGTTACTTATGTTAAATTTACAGGCATTTAGGACCATGAAGTATTCGATAAAATGATGAGCTATATGAGCTCTTCGGCGATATGGACATAGCGGCGCATAAAACTACAGTGGTAGCGTTGGTTTGGCCATGTTAGTCGAATGAAAGAAAACACTCCATCTTGCAAAATCTTCAATTCGGTGCCTCCTGTTGGCTGACGATGCAAAGGATGGTCAAACTCCTATGGAAAGATCAAGTGGATACAGACCTGCCGAAATTTTAAATCTTTAACTGATGTAGTTGTGCGCAATGCCGACGCGGAGGCTTATCGATACTGCCAAGACCGTCACCCGGTTGTAGTGCTAACATGATGCTTATTTTACTGTAAAAGTTGTTGTGGTATTAATTAAACTAGATACTTGTTGCATGATTTAGAATCCTTATGATGTAACTAGAGTTCTCGACAGCACTTGCGAGCTCAAAGATATTCGAATATTTTATAGAAGATCTAAAAGAAACTTGAAGCAGATCTAAAAGTAAAGCCAATAAGTTTTAGAGATTACTCTTCTCACGGTAATTTTTTCTCTGAGAAGCTATATCTCGATGTAGTTTTAACTTAGAGGGGCTTTTGAAATCAGGAAATTCAAGCAGCTGAGAAAATTAAAACTTGTTATTGCGTATTCCCTTTACCCCTTTCATTCTTAACTTCTTTAACTTTCGCATTTAAACATTTAATTTTCTAACCGCTTCTCTGGTTGCTGATTTTCGTCCGACAGGCGGGGTAAAACAGGTACCAATTTCTCCATAAGTGTTGGCAACAATTTCCGCCATTTCAGTTTCCAAATCGCCGAAGGCTTTTAGTGTAATTAACATAAGTACCTGCGCGGTCATACGAACACACACACACAAGCACTTGTTTTATGTATTGTTGGGTGCATGTGTGTGGGTGCTTATAATGGCATATTTCCAGCCAGTGTGAACGCAACATGCATCATGATAGCATCAAGAAGCAAAAATATCAAAAAAAAAAAATAAATTTATATTAAATAGTGAGAAGCTTAACAACAACAACAGTAACCACAATAATTATACCTATGCCAAAATCAACGGTCAATTGTCGATGCTGTTGCCGATACTGCCAATAGAACGCACCAAATACGACACCACAACATAACACTAAATTAGTTTTGGATGTCGTAAAATCGACGGCGCACTACTAATTTATTGCCTCATTAAGTGCGAGCAGCTTCCAATTGTTTCACGCGTTCGGCCAGCGACGACACAGCAACAGCTAGCCACGCACATACACACACATGCAAAAGTCAGAGCATCAGCGGTTCAGCTGCCAACACAACGGTGAAGCTGACGGTGTGTGTGAAGGGCGCGCGGGCGGGGGACGCTGTCGGTTCGTGGCGTTGATTGCAAGTGATTTGCATAAATTCTAAATCGGTTTTAAATTTATTTGTTCAAAGCTTCCGTTCGCAGCGCACCAACACCGGTGCCACCTTCACCACCATCGTCACCAACGCTATCGCTTTCTTCATCAGCTACTAGCCGAGTGTGGGTTTTCCGCTTTCATTCGCTTCAGCATTTATCTGTTTTCGCCTCCGCTTTTGCATTGAAATTCCGTTTCGCCGCTTTAAAATATGCAGCTCTGCTTTTAGCCACGTGCTGACCCCAGCTGTGGACTGCCTCTGGTGAGCATTACGCGTGCGAACAATTATTTGTTGCTTCTGGCTATAAGTTATTTTTAAGCAAAATTTATTAATTATTTGATTTACACTCAGACGACGCGAGCTGGTGTGTTCGTTGCAACTAATTAAAATTTTACACATTTTTAATGATGACAATTTAATTTAATTTTTAAAAATCATTGAGCTAATTTATTCCCCCCCATTGAGTCGAGTTGCAGCTGATTTATGGGTATATATGTAAGGCGGCTAATTTATGGCTTGTTAAAATTCAATTTAAGTTAAATTTGAGTTTAAATTGAGCGACAATTAAGTATAATTGACTTCGAGTTACCATTTTTGGTTGCTAAACTGAGTGACAGCTTTGTAGCATTCTTACAATTTGGTTGTCAAACTGAGTGAAACTTTGAGTATAGCTCAAAAAAATTTAAAGTTTAGTTAAAAACTGAATTTGATATTGAATTTTAGCTTTTTAGAATAAACTGGGAATTTTTTCGAGCAAACTCAAAGTTATCACTCAATTTGACAACCAAAGCGTCAAGTCAAATTCAAACTTAAAGCAAATACAACTAGCATATAATATGAATTTTAATTTGAGTTAAATTATTAGCATAACTGCACTTTTAATTAAATTTGAACATTGTTTTAAATTAATACTACGTAACTTCTCAATACTCTACTTAAGCTCAAAATAACGTTACAATTTGAGTTTTGAATGAAAGTAATTAATTTTGAGTTTTTTGTTGGCACGTAAAATGGAGTGATAAATTTGAGTTTGAGTGTTAATTAAAACAATATTACGAGTTGAATTCAAATATATTTGAAAATTAAATCATTAGTTAAAATTTAAAATTTCATGTGAGTTTAATTTTACTGCATTACTGCATTTTAATAATATTCAAACAGAATAATAAAATTTTGAAGTATTAATCACATCAAAGTATGTTTTTTAAAACTAAAACCATTTCGTTTCTGTGTTTGCGCTTAATAAGTACGGAAAATTTAATTTGAGATCATAATGAAGTTGTAAACAGTTTATTTTAATTTATTTTCAGTTAAAATGTGGTGGTAGCTTTCAGTTTTGCCTCAAACTTAAGTTTAAGTTATTGTCAAGAATTAGAATTGAATTGTTTTGAACACGAGTTTTGTATTGTTTAGGTTTGCTATTGTTTTAAACTTGAGTTTTATATATTTTACTTGAATCTTGTTTAGAGTTGAAATAAGCTTCTAAACTTTTAAATTAAAATTGAGTTTTTTTATGACTTTATATTATTATATTTTATATTTTATTATGACTTTATTTATGAAATGACATAGTTTTTTGAATTCAATTTCAAGAATTGCTAAAAAATATAGTTTTTATTTAAAATAGCATTTTTTTAAATGTATAGAAATTAATTTTTCAGATTTGAAATTTAG